ACCCAGAAACTGCCACAAAATGCAGTTGTGAGTCCAGATGCCTCCTTCTCTTCCCTTCCCCTCCTTTCTTTGGAGCCTTCTCTGCCTGCACTGGACTTATTAATGTAACACAGTCACAGTCTTTGAACAAGTTAAATATGTTCCCACAGAAGAGCAGAGGTTTTCCCAGCCTCAATCTGTCAGGAAGACCCTGCTGTTTGCAGAGGTTAGCAGACAGCTGGAAGAACAGGCAGGATTGAGGCCAAACATGATCCAAATACATATTTATACCCACAACATTTATATAACACCCATGCTGGAGCACACTCCCCCTTCTCACTTACCTCCCTCCCCAACTCCTCAACTTCCCTAGCAGAGGCTAGGGACTCAGGAAGGAGGCCCAACTGAGGATCAGTCACAGTCTCAAAGAATGAGTCATGAAGTTGATCCCCCTGACTCTGACAGGAAAGAGCAATCTGAGAACTTGTTCAAGGAGAATGACCACAACGGGGCATGCTGGCCAAGTCCAATATTATCCAAATCCTTGTTGGACCTTGATAGAAAGGAATGAAAGAAGAAGGAAGGAAGGTCTTAATAAGTGTGTACTATGTGCCAAGCACTGTACTAAGGACTTTACAAATCTGTCTCTCTTTTTTCTTTTTTTTTTTGTAGTGAGGCAATTTTGATTAAGTGACTTGTCCAAGGTCACACAGCTAGTTAAGTGTCAAGTGTCTGAGGCCAAATTTGAACTCAGGTCCTCCTGACTCCAAGGCTGGAGCTCTATCCACTGTGCCACCTAGCTGCCCCAAATATTATCTCTTTTGATATTCACAATAACCCTGGCACATAAGTCTTATTATCCTCATTTTACAGATGAGAAAAATGAGGCAGAGAGAAGCTAAGTGATTTGCCCAGGATCACACAGTAAATGTCTGAGGTGAGATTTGAACTCAGGTCTTTCCGACTGCAAGTCCAGTGCTCTATTCACTTCTACACCCACCTGACAAAATAAGGGAGGTAATGTGGGGCAGTGGAAAGGGCCCTAATCTTGGAATCAGGAGACCTGGATTCAGCTCTCAGCTATACCTCTGACTAACTTAGTGACTTTAGGCAAGTCATGTGTCTTTTCTGGGGTTTGTCACTCTCCTCTACAAAACAAAGGGGTTGGACTAGATTAGTGGTTTCCCACCTGTGAACCACAAACCCGGAGTGTGTGTTTAGGCAGGGAGGGGATTGGGTCATGCTTTGGATCACAGATTTACAATTACGTGGAACCTTAGATTATCCAGTCCAATGCCTTTATTTTAAAGTTGAGGCTGTTGCTTCTATTATTTAGTCATATTTGACTCTTCATGACCCCACTTTGGGGTTCTCTTGACAAAGTCAGTGGAGTGGTTTGCCATTTTCTTCTCAAGCTTATTTTTACAAATTCTGGAACCCAAGGCAAACAGTGTGAACTAACTTGTCCAGCATCACACAGCTAGTAAGTATCTGAGGCCAGACGTGAACTCAGGAAAATGAGTCTTTCTGACTCCAGGCCCACCACTTAATCCACTGTACCACCTAGCTGCTGGCTTGTCCAGGGTCCATAGGGAGAAAGTGCTAAAGTTGGGATTCTAATACAGATCTTTTACTCCAAAACCAGAGCTTTTTTTTCCACTAGACCACATCTGCTAATCTATAAATAAGCAAACACACCTTCTGGAGACTGAATAAATAATATTCCTTGCACATATAATAAGATTTTTCAAATGTATGCAAATGTTATTTTGATGAATAAAGTATAAATTCATTTAAAAGGACTATTAGACTTGTAGTAGCTTTTTCCTCATCAGGTAGTTTTCTAAATTAACATGCCAAAAGAACAGTTGCAGGGGTCAGAGGACTTTTTTGATGTTAAAGGGTGGGCCTTATATTTTCTTTGTTGGTTTTTGTTAGTTCATTTGATTCTACCTTGTCAATGACTGAGTCAGGCTTTGGGTTACGATTTTACTCCCTTTTTGTACAGTTATTTGATCATTTTTTGTAAACAACAGCCTTTGAGTCTGTCCTCATACTCAAAAAGATTGGGGAACTGCTGGATTAGATGATGTTTAAGCCATCTTCTATGCAGAGTTGTTCATTCATAAGTTTGGATCGTGCCAAGGCATTCCTAATCAAAATCTTGTTTTTTTAATTTGGAAGCCCCGAGGGCTGCTGACTATTGGACCATCTGATAGAAATCTAAGGCTGACCTTGGCACTGGAGCTTCTATTAGAATTAGTGACCAACTGGGAGTTGAGGGCCTTAAAATTTGGCTTCTAGCCACAAATTCTGGAAGCCAGTTTTCAGTCCCAAAGCCCTGTCCCAATGCCACGGGCCCTGTTGCTTAATTTCAATGTAATGGATGTTGAATTGGGTATCCAATCCCCAAGTGAAAAACCTAATGAATTCTCTGTGATTAATAGTATTCCAAGCAACACCAGGCCAGCCAGTGACAATGCATCTCTCCTGATGAATGTTAAACAGGTTAAGGGATGAACCAGAAGAATACAATGGAAATAGAGAGAAGAGCTCTTGGGCTGGCATCAGACTCAGAGCCTCCTTCTCTATTCTTCCCCCTCTCTTCCAGCCCCATGGACCGTATAATTAAGCTGTGTTTCTACAGTTTTCCCCTCCCTAGTCTCAGGCCAGGAAAGGATTAATTGGCAGAAATGGAATGTTGGAGGAACTAATTTGCATTGAAGGATGCTAAAAGGACCAATGGGAGACAAGCACTCAAGAATGCCTTTGGCCAGTCAGAAAGGGGAAGTCCTTGGCTGCAAGAAGAAAGGTCTGGTCTGGGTGGTTTCATGGGGGCAACCTTTCGAACAGAGAACTTAGGCACACCCTTAGAAGTAAAGGTTCTTCACCTGGGGTCCTTGAACTTAAAAAAATAGTTTTATTAATATTTCCACATAATTTGTTTCCTTTGCAACTCTGTGTGTTTTAGTTTACGCATTTAAAAAACATTATTCTAAGCAGGGGTCTATAGGCCTCATTGGATTGCCAAAGGGACCCATGACACCAAAAAAGTTAAGAACCCCTACCTTAGAGGACTAAGTCTGAACAATTGGACTCCCTCCAGATAGATGTGATTTTTCCCATTTGGCAGATATGGAAACTGAAGCAAAACAAGGTGGTTCGTCTTGTCTAGGGTCACATAGAAGATTAGCACACTGGATGTTGTAGGAGAAGTGCACCAGAAGTTAAGGACTCAAGGTCAGGTCTGGGTGTAGACTGGGCTTCACTTCATATTTCTGAATCTTCATTTCCTTTTCAGTCAGATGAAAATAATACTACTGTATGATGTGCTTTATAGGGTTGTTTTGAGATAATGTATTAAAAGTTCTTTGTAAACTGTTAAATGTTTCTCAGGAATTTATTGTTATCCTCCTCCTCATCAACAACAGTCAGAGCCAGAACCTGGGTTTCTGAGTCCAATTTTCTTTGCATTTTACTGCACTTCCTTTTTATAATAACATTCAATATATTGATTTGTCTAGAGCACATTGAGGAGAATGAGATATTAGATTTCTTAGACTTGAAGGGCAAAGGGTGAAAGTTCTGTCTACGATGAGGGGTCATAGGTCCTGCCTTTGGGCAGGAGCCTGTCTGGTTGAGAGTTCTTTGACCTTTAGATGAGCTGAAGCTGACTTAACTCGTTAAGAAGCTCTTTCCTAGCATCACTATTAGTTTAGGGATTTCTGTGATCCTTTCTGTATTTCTGGAGGTGGCATCCCTAGAGCACAATAGAAAGATCACTAGATTTAAAGTCAGACAACCTGGCTTTGAAGCCCAGCTCTACTACTGCCTGGCGGACTTTGGACATGTCAGTTATCCTCTCTGGTATTTAGGGTTCTCCTCTGTAGAATGAGGGGGTTGGACTAAATGGCCTTTAAGGTCTCTTTTACCTCTAAATCAATGATCCTAACGAGAGAAGAGACCCATGCTGGCTCCTGCCTTCCTGTAGATGTAAGAAACCAAAGTTCAGGATCTTCTTAAAAGGTTACTTGAAATTCTAGCTCAAGGCTAGCTGCTGAGAAAAAAAAATGGAAGTGGAGGACAGCTGTAATCCTTCCCCAGATAAAAAGACATTGTAGCCCAGAATGAATACAAGTGGACCCCTTCTGGAAGAAATATTGTGCAAAAATTCAAAGTTTACAAGTAATAAACTGAGGGTGATGGTGATCAGAGGAGAAGAATTCATCTTACTGAAGGAGCTTGTTTTTAAAATAAATGATCCCATACAGGGTTACTTTGAATAACATAGACTCCTAATGTATTGAAAACAAAACTTGATTTAGCAGAACTTTGATTTTGTATTTAACTTTTTAGAAACTCATGTGATACATAAAGCAAGTTAGGAAAGTAGAGGAAATTTGGGGAAAAGCCAATAAGAATTTAATGGATTTGGTGAAAATATCAAATGTCTGGAAAGCATGGCTAATGGATGGAGGAACTTGGACTCTAGACAGTTGAACCAGAACTAGACAAGGTAGAACCCTAAACACAAGTGAATGGGTGTGGGGAGAGAAGCAGGCCAATGTCATAGTCCTGTTCAATCAGTTCTCAGGCAGCTACCCCCCCCCCCACAGATCAAGGAATCCCCAAGGACAAAACAGTGGTAGGGGACTTCTTTTGGAGGGTATCCAGACAATTGGATGCAGAGGCTCATTTAAAGCCTCAGTCACCTCAGTAACTTTTCTTCTAAATAGGTGGTTCCATGCTGCTTCTGTCTTGTTTTTATTTGGACAGGTTTGCAAGACTGATATATCTAAGTACAACTCATTATACCTCAGTAGAATGTAAACTCCTTGAGATCAGGGATATCTTTGCCATTGTATCAGTGCACAGAGCCTGGAATATAATAGGCACTTAATAAATGAATCTGATTGATTGATGAGGCAGCTTATTTCTGTGAAAGTGCTGCATTTAGAGTGAGAGGATATTCGTTTTGCACCCAGTTCTACCACTTATATCACATATGTCATCTTTTATAGGTCACTCAACCCCTGTTTGTTTTCCCATTGATTTAATGGGCCTGAGGGGGCAGGGAATATGGTACTAGATGACCTTGTTGCAGAACTTCTTATGGCAATCCTGTGAGGTAAGTGATTAATTGATGAGCCTGTGATTTCTGGAAAGAGTGCTACATTTGGAGGCAGGGGACCTGGGTTCAAATTTAGCTTATTAAATTCATGGGTGACACCATAACTTTCTACACAGGATGGAAAAATGTGAGCTAGATAATAATATGATTAAGTAGACTTGGAATAGATTAGCAAACTGGACTTTCAAAGTATAGCTTAATAGCTTTGAGTCTGAGGGTACTTCCCAGATCCACAGGAATGACACTGTATGTGAGACAATTGAGAGGGACTAGAGAATAAGGATAGGGAAACTTGGTTCATGTCTCAGAGGCAGCCAGGTCGTACAGTAGATTAGAGTACTGGGCTTGGAGTCAAGAAGATTAAAGTTCAAATCTGGCCTCAGACACTTACTGGCTGTATGCATGTCACTTAACCTCTGTCTGATTCAGTTTCCTCATATATAAAATGCAGATAATAATAGTACCTACCTGCTAGAGTTCTTGTTCCTGAGTATCACATGAGGTATTTGTAAAGGACAGTGCCTTCTTTCCTATGCTCAGTTATGCCACTAGCTAGCTCTATGACCCTGGCCATATCTTTTCTCTTCTCTGGGCTAAAACTTCAGTATCTATATGAATGGAGGGAATGAACTTTATGATTCCAACCTGGAGGGGATGACAGGGAAATTTCTAGTCAGTGATATGCTGGAGCCAGCTCTAACCAGCTTGCTAGAGCAAATATTTAATTTTCAGTATGAGAATTTACACTTCAGAAATCAGGGCTTGACTTATTATTCTGTTCATTTCCTACACTTAAAGTGTTAATAATTCATATAAATCTTAAAAGCATGTGTACATACATTTTTCCCCAGAGAGTCAGCTTATTAAACATTTACCAGGACACCCCTGTGTCTATTGGAGTACCAGAGGGCTCTATCCTCAATTCTGTTTTAGTCAACTTTTCTCAAGGACTTGAACCAAGAAATAGATTCATGCTTATCAAATTTGTTGTTGACCAAACCTGAGCAGGTTAGCTTATATGTTAGAATCAGAATTAAAGTAAACTAAGTGGCTGAAGTAACAGGACAGATCTAAGATGAAATATAATAGGAATACATCTGAGCTAAAACAAAAATTAATGGCACAGGTACAAAGTGGGGAAGATTTGGTTATGTAAGTGTGTGTGTGTGTGTGTGTGTGTGTGTGTGTGTGTGTGTGTGTGTGTGTGTGTGTGTAATAAACCTGGCTATTTTTGTGGACTTCAAGTTTAATGTGATTTAGCAGTGTGATATGACAGCCACAAGACCACAGCAATATTAAGTTATAGCAAGAAAAGAATATCCAGCTAGACTGGGGTTAGTAACCTTGGTGTCAGGGACCCCTAGGCAGTCTGGTGAAGCCAATGGACCCCTTCTCAGAATAATGTTTTTAAAGGCATAAAATAAAATGCATAAGATTATAAAGGAAACCAATTAAATTGAAATAAAAGTTTTGTTTCCCATCCGAGTTCACAGACCCTTGAAATCTATCCTTGGACCTCTGACCTGGAAGGAGGTCATAGTCTTATTGTATACTTGGCTATCGTTAGGCCATCTCTAGAATTTCATTTTCAACTCAATTTTGTAAAAGATATTGAGATGCTGGTGCCCCGTTGGTGAAGGGCAGCCTGAACAGAGAAGGTTCTCATACCAGTGTCAAGTAAGGATGAATTGAAGGATCTGGGAATGATTCACCAGTAGAAAAGAAGACTTCACAGACCACTGATTCTGACTTAGATAACAGAGTTTTCAACCTATGGCCCTTGAACTTTTTTATTAAAAATATGTTGTCAATTTTTCAATGTGACTTGCAATCTTACATGTTTTATTTGATTCATTTAAAAACATTCTTCTGAGAAGGGGTCCAGAGACTAGACCAGGCTGCCAGAGGGGTCCATGACACAGAAAGAATAAGAATCCCTGATTCAGTAAAAAGGATGAATTAATGTTGACATTTTTCTTATTCTGAGTAATCTGATCCAATTCCTGAGGGTGTATGGTGTGTTCAGGGAAGGCTAGTACCTCTGGTGTGAAGGCTGCCAAGCACTTTTCAAAGCTACTTTCCACTTTTGGTGTCTACCTGTTCCAGCTAACTCTCACCTGTGACTCCAAGAAGCTGTACACAGCAGCCACACCCCAGTAAACTGTTTTGGCAGATGGGCTAAAGCAGGTTGAGGGTAACCAAGGGGTCTCAAATCTGTTAGTGAGTTGGGAGGATATCTACCCCAAGCATGTGAAGACTTCCCCTGGTGGAATGGGCAGATGAGAACAATTTATTCCAACAGCCATGAAGGCAGCTGAAGCAGGCACTGTGGAGCACTTAGAGCTTGCTTTGATGTTGAAGGTGCCAAGGATATCCATTGCATCTTGAGCCATCACTAGTTAGGGGGGTTTTTTTTTGCTTTTTTTTTTTTGGTCAGGCAATCAGGTTTAAGTGACTTGCCCAGGGCCACACAGCTAGTAAGTGTCAAGTGTCTGAGTCTGATTTGAACTCAGGTACTCCTGACTCCAAGGCCAGACCTCTATCCACTGCACCACCTAGTTGTCCCATTGCCAGTTGTCTTGATTCTGTCCTGCCACTGGACTGTGATGACTCTGGAGGAAAGAGAGGCCAACGACTTCTTCCAAATCTGCCTCACTTAAATCCAATTTGCACATGAATCAAAGGACATGGCCCATAATATTTTACCATTTAACCTATCAAAGTCCTGTAGTGACAGGCAAGTGATGAAGCAGCAGGTACAGATACACTGGGAGCTATAGTTACAATTCAGCACACAGGTAGCTCAGGCCATAGGGTCATTTCTCACTGGAAGCAGCAGTGGGATTCGGCAGCCCCCTGGGTGTCTGAACAGCCTTTTAAGGATCACACTGCTTACCTCCTGGTATGAGGAAGGGGCTGGAAAAGGTGCCCTAAAAATTGTCTACTTACCCAACCCTGGCCTGTTTACTACAGCAGGAAGGGAATTCCACTCTGTGGTTGAAACACAAAAAAATATGCAAAAACATCTGCAATGACGATTCCACTCACCATCAGCCATGGAATGTGCATGCACTTACAGAGAACACAAAATCCAGTAGATCTGAAAGACAGACAGCTCTTGTTACAAGAGAACTCAGCAGGTATTGCATTCAAATAACAGCTCTGAGTGAAACAAGGCTGGCAAATAAAGGCCAGCTTACTGAAGTTGGAGCTGGATACATTTTTCTGGAATGGCCACAGTAAAGCGGTGCGCCGTGAAGCTGGTGTAGGTTTCGTAATCAAAACTAATGTAGTCAACAAGCTTGTATGCCTACCAAAAGGAGTGAATGACAGGCTCACACCAAGGCGATTGCCACTTGCAGGAAAATGTCATGCCACCATCATCAGTACCTGTGCTCCCACCATGACAAATCAAGATGAGGTTAAAGACAAATTTATGAAGACCTGGAGACCCTTATCATCAATGTGCCAAAAGAAGACAAGCTTATAATTCTGGGTGACTTTAATGCTAGAGTAGGCTCAGACTACTAGACTTGGCAGGGAGTTCTAGCGAGGAATGGAGCTGGAAACAGCAGCAGCAATGGTCACTTACTACTAAAGACTTTGCATCTCATGACCTTCTCATCAGCAACACTGTCTTCTGTTTACCTAAATGCAATAAAACTTTATGGATGCACCCTAGCAGCAAACATTGGAATTTAATAGACTATGTGATTGTAAGGAGAAGAGACAGATAGGATGTGAGAATGATGAAAGCAATGTGTGGTGCAGAGTGCTGGACTGATCATAGACTTATGCTCTCCAGGCTAAATATTCACATTCAGCAAAAGTGGCATCCCCAAGGCAAAATGACTACAGAAAAAATAATGTCAACAGATTAGAGCTCTTCTCTGAGCGGGAACAGTTTGTTACTAACTTGGAGGAAAGGTTGAGCCAACACACAGTTGGCAACAGTGGAGCAGAAAAGGAGTGGGAAGCTTTCAGAGATCTGGTGTATAGCACTGCATTTGCTCATCTGGGTCACAACACTCACAAATATCAAGCTGGTTTGATGAAAATGATGGGGAAATTAGGAAGCTGCTAAACGAAAAATGAGAATTCCGTAGGGTTTACCAGCAAGATAGCTCATCCATTTCTAAAAAGGCAGCATTTAATTCTATCAAAAGTAAAGTACAAGCAATGCTGAGAGAGATACAGGATTCTTGGCTCAGTAAAAAGGCAGATAAAATTCAGTTTTATGTTGATAGTAATAATCCAAAACACTTTTATGATGCCCTGAAGGCTACTTATGGGCTAAAGACCTATGTTGCATCTCAACTACTAAGTGCTGATGGAGACATATTGATTAGTGATAAAGACATGATCCTAGAGAGATGGGTAGAACACTTCCAAAAGGTTCTCAATAGATCATCATCAATAAATGCTGGAGCCATTGACCATTTACCTCAAGTTGAAGTCAATCCCTCCCTAACTGAAGTTCCAAATGAAGAAGAGATTTTGAATGCTATTAGGCTCCTTCTGTGTGGCAAAGTATCTGGTGCTGATTGTATTCCAGCTGAGATTTACAAAGTAGAGGGTCCACTGCTCATGCAAACAATGCTTGTTATATGGCAAGGTTATGTAGCAAGACAAAGTTATTCCCTCAGGAGTTTAAGGATGCCTCCATTGTCCATCTCTATAAAAGTAAAGGAAATAGATTGGCCTGTGCCTATCACGGGGGGGGGGGGTCTCTCTTAGTCATTGCTGGCAAGATTCTTGCCAGAGTCCTCCTTAATAGGCTGATCCTTCACTTGGAAGATGGTCATCTACCTGAGAGTCAGTGTGGCTTCAGAAAGGGCTAAGGAATGGTTGATATGGTGTTTGCTGCTTAACAACTTCAGGAGAAATGCCAGGAGCAGAACAGAAGACTGCACACAACATTTGTAGATCTGACCAAGGCCTTTGATACTGTCAGTCATGAGGCCTTATGGAAAATTATGTCAAAATTTGGTTGCCCGGGGAAGTTCATCAGCATTGTAAGTCAGTTTCATGATGGCATGCTTGCCCAGGTTCTGGATAATGGACAACGGTCTCATACTTTCCCAGTCACCAATGGAGTGAAACAAGGATGTATGCTTGCTGTCATGCTTTTTAGCATGATGTTTTCAGCCATGTTGTCAAATGTTTTCAATGAAGATGAACGTGGCATTAAGGTCAGCTACTGAACTGCTAGTAAATTTTTCAACTTGAAAAGGCTACAAGCCAAGACCCAAATGAAATGAGTGTTAGTACATGATTTTCTGTGTGCAGATGATTATGCGTTCAATGCAGCCTCTGAAGCTGAGATGCAGCAAAGTACGAATTCATTCTCTGCTGCTTGTACTAATCTTGGCCTAATAATTAACACCAAGAAAATGCAGGTGCTTCATCAGTCACCACCACACCATCCATATGTGGAACCACCAGTTATAGCAAATGGAGAAGTTTTGAATGATGTGGATAAGTTCATTTACCTTGGTAGCGTACTTTCCAGGGATGTACATCTTGATAATGAGGTTGATGCACTCATTGCCAGACCTAGCTTAGTGTTTGGAAGGCTCCAAAGGAAAGCATGGGAGAGAAGAGGTATTAAACTGACTACCAAAGTGAAGGTCTACAGAGCTGTTGTGCTGACCTCATTGTTGTATGATTGTGAAACGTGGACAGTATACCAGCGCCATGCCAGGAAATTGAATCACTTCCATTTGAATTATCTTAGGAAGATTCTGAAAGATCACCTGGCAGGATAAAATACCAAACACTGAGGTCCTTTTTCAAACAAAACTGCCAAACATTCAAATTCTGCTTCAGAGAGAGCAATTCCAATGGGCTGGCCATGTTGTTTGAATGCAAACTTGCCAAAGCTTTCCAAAAAGACTATTTTATGAAGAACTCACACAGGGCAAGTGTTTACATGGTGGTCAGAAGTGACACAAGGACACTCTCAAGATCTCTCTTAAGAACTTTGGAACTGATTATGTGACATGGCAGACACTGGCACAGGACTGTTCAGCATGGCATGCCCATAGCAGAAAAGGTGCTGTGCTCTATGAGCAAAGCAGAATTGAAATAGCTCAAGAGATACACAAGATACAAAAACTTAGAGGATCCACCCCAAAGGTTCACATGGGTTATTTGTGCCCAACCTGGGATAAAACATTCCGAGCTCATATTGGTCTGATCAGCCACAGTTGGACACATTAAAACTTGACTCTAGCATAGTGATGTCATTTTGGTGTATCCTCAATACTAACACTGAAGTAGGCACTTCATGAATGTTTTTCATTGAATCTTAATATATTTTTTTAAAAGTTGTCTTTTTTAAGTGAGATCTTCTTTTAGCTGAGTCTGGATCTATGATTTCATCAGTTCAGGGGACTCCCAGTATGGAAGCAATCTCCCTTGATGCAAATCAGAAAGGCCTTGGTAATATGTATTTTAGATACTTGTCAGAGAGAAGAGAAGTTAAGTGCTTTACTCAAGGTGTGGCAAGTCAGACTCAGGACTTGAATCCAGATCTTCTTGACAGTGGCTGGTCTTCTCTCTGACATGTCACACTGTTTCTCACTTTACATGAGTACGTAATAAAAGTCTATCTAGGCTTGGGATAAAATCCCTAGGAAATCTCTAATATAAGAATCAATCATCAATAATACCTTCGGAAACGACTATAATTCACACTAACGATAATTCCTTAGATTTGTGAAGCTCCTTTCCTCCAAGAAACTGAGTCATTTCCACATATTACCTATTTTTTTTTGTCATGTCATCTATCTATTTAAAATGGTACTTGGGAACAAGCATTATTTCCCCTTTTCACAGAAGGAGAAACTGAGGCACAGAGAGCTTGAGTGGGATGCAATCAATCACAAGATAATGTCCACTTCCTGTTTATGGATCTGGTAGCTAAATGTTAAATGGGTCAAGTATCACTGCTCCTATTATCATTCCTAAATAGAGAAGGGCTTACTTAGAGTAGTATCCAATGGAGGAACAGGATCTCTTGGGCAATCTGAAGGATTTATATTTAAGGCTCCTTCCTAGAGATGCAGAGGTGACTGATAGTATAGAGGAAAGGGTGCCAGCTGAACTGGGAGTCAGGTGACCATGGTTATAAGTGCCAAATTTGCTGCAAACTATGTGACCTTGGACAAGTCACAGTGACCATGAGCTTCTCTGGACTTCTCTAGGCTTTAATTTCCGTATCCATAAAATAAGGTGGAGAGGGAATAAAGTGGAGGAAAGTAGATGATTTTTAAGATCCTGTCCAGCTCAAGGATTCTATGATTGTGATAGTCTATGATTTCAGCCTAGGATGTGTGCGCCATACCAGCTGTATGAAGGTAGGAAAGTCACTTCTTTTTTCTGAACCTCAGTTTTCTCATCCTCCTGAGGCAGCTAGGTGGAATAGTGGACAGAGAGATCTGAACTTGGAGTCAGGAAAACATGAGCTTATAGCTTCAAAAACTTACTAGCTAGATGTGTGACCCTGGCCAATTACTTTAACCTCTCAGTTTCATTTTCCTCATCTGCAAAATGAGAATTAAAAACTCTTATCTCACAGGGTTTTTTTTAAGGATCAAATGAAATAACATTTGTAAGATGATATGATAATCTGTGTGTGTATGTGTGTGTGTGTGTGTGTGTGTGTGTGTGTGTGTGTGTGTGTGTGTGTGTGTGTGTGTAGGGGCATTTCTCCTAGTAACTATGTCACTGACTTGTGAGGAAAAGTGCTTATTTATGAAATGAAGCAGTTGGACTAGCTAATAATTCCACATGTCTAAGGAGGTAAGGCAGAGAAGCCAAAATACTGAACTGAAGGCGGGAGATCAGAGAACATCTAAGATTGGCCACTTGCTAATTGTAACTTCCAAGATGTCAGTTATGTCACTTAGTTTTCCCTTCTTTCAAAGGAAGGGAATGACCCAAAATTCTTTTCAGCAGAAACACCTCACGAATCCAGGATTCTTTGGCTGGAGCAGGTAGAACTGTCCTGTGGGGGAGGGGAAAGCTGCCTGACGGAATGAAAAGACTTCTGGGCTCAGGTTGGGAGAGTTTGATGACATATATGAACAGAGCTTCATCTGCAGGTCTGGATAGCAATTCCTCCGAGAAGGGATACCTGTGTGAGGGGGAAAAGAATAGTTACTAAAAAAGGGGGAGGGGAAGGAAGGAATCACTCTAAAATTTATTCAATTCTCTTTCTCTCTCTCTCTCTCTCCTCTCTCTTCTCTCTCTCTCCTCTCCTCCTTCTCTCTCTCTCTCTCTCTCTCTCTCTCTCTCTCTCTCTCTCTCTCTCTCTCTCTCTCTCTCCAGGTTCTCATTTTCTGTAAAGACCGAAGAGGCTATATGATAAGCATATTTTCCAAATTAGGTAGCGATTTATCCCGCCTTTGTTTTAATGATTGAAATGAATGATGTCGTGTGGCTCGCGGCTGCCACTGCATTCATCGCCCGCTGTTCCTGGGAGCTGAGACACTGAGAAATTTGCATACTTAATGCCTGGAACTGGCACAGCCAGGGTAGCTCCTTCGCTCTACTGTGTTTGTAGCTGGGCTGGAGAGCGTTGCTTCATCAACGCCTTCTCGGAGCCAGCCATCCCGGACTCACCCGATCCGACTCAACTGACAGTGATGGCCTGAGCTTGGTGTTTATCAGCTTTGTGTCTAGGACTGCAATGAAAGGCATAAGGCTGCATACTGTGATCACGAAAATTTCTCATAACCATCATGATGCTGAAAGAGTTGCTGTTTTTTCCTTTCCCTTCCCCTTCCCCTTCCCCTTTCCCTTTCAGAAGCCAGGGGAAGGCTTCTACTCGAACTATAGGAGTTGCAGTGTGACCTTGGTTAAGTCATATCTCTTCCTTTGACCTTAGGAGGGAGCTGAACTAGATGAAGTCTAAGGGAGCTTCCAGTTCTAACCTTCTGTGTTGCTGTGATTGGAAATAACTTGGACCACACACCTCTTTCCCAATACAAAGGAGGCATCACCTCTCCTTATCCCCTGTCCACTCCACCTTTGCCCAAACCCTCTTGAATTAAATTTGCCTGAGAAACTCCTTTGGATTCAAGCAGAGTAAATAAACACTCAATGCATAGCCACCGGGCTCAGAGGCAGAAGCCAGAGCCAGAGTCAGATACACTAGGGTTTACTCTGGCTTTGTTTGCCATTGAATAGGATTCTGGGACTTCTTATCCACTGAGTGAGGAAAGTGTGTGGAGAGAGGGGAAGAGGCAGATTCTATCAGATCATACCTCTTCACCTCTATGCAAAAGAAAGATCACTTAAGGGGAAGTGATCTGAAAAAGTTGGGTTTCATGATCTCTTAAATGCCAAATCCAATGGCTTTTTTTTCAATCCTCATCCTTCTTGACCTCTCTGGTACTTTTGATATTGTCAGTTACTTGATTCCCTTGGATAATTTTTCCTGTCTAGGTTTTCATGCCACTGGGCCTCCCCCTACCTGTCTGACTGCTCCATCTCAGTCTCCTTTGCTGGATCTTCATCCAGGTTATCCCCCAGTGATCTGTCCTGGACCCTCTTCTCCTTCTACATGATTTTGCTTAGTGATCTCATACGTTTTCCAATCTCTATGCAGATGATTCTCAGATTTCTTTATTCAACTCATCCACCCCCTCTGCTGACTTCTAGTCTCATATCACCAACTGGCTATCAGACACCTCAAACTAGACATGTCCAAAACAGAACTCATTACCTTTCTTCTTCTTCTTCTCCTTCTTCTCCTTCTTCTCCTTCTTCTTCTTCTTCTTCTTCTCTTCTTCTTCTTCTTCTTCTTCTTCTTCTTCTTCTTCTTCTCCTTCTCCTCCTCCTCCTCCTCCTCTTCCTTCTTCTTTTTCTTCTTCTTCTTCTTCTTCTTCTTCTTCTTCTTCTTCTTCTTCTTCTTCTTCTTTTCTTCCTCCTCCTCTTTCCCCTCCTCCTCCTCTTTTTTTTTTTTGCTTTTTGGTGAGTTGATCAGGGTTAAGTGACTTGACCAGGGTAACACTGCTAGTAAGTGTTAAGTGTGTGAGGCTGAACCTGAACTCAAGTCCTCCTGACTCCAAGGCCAGAGTTCTATTCACTGCGCCACCTCACTCCCCCCCTTTCTTCTTTGCTGAACCTCCTTATAACTATCACCACCACTCTCCCAGTCACCCAGGCTTGCAATCTTGATGTCATCCTCAATTCCTCATTCTCATTCATATCACATATAAGCAATCTTTTGCCAAACCTTATTTCTACCTTGCAACATCTCTCATATATGCCCTCTTTTTTCCACATTACAACCACACTGAGGTAGACTCTCATCATCCTATGCCTGGATTATTATAGCCTGATGGATGGTTTCCATGCCTCAAGTTTCTCCCTACTCCAGTTCATTTTCTACTCAGCTGCCAAAGTGATCTTCCCAAGGTTTATATCCGACCATTTCAAATCCCTGTCCCCCCACTCAGTAAATCCCAGTGTCTGTAATAGACAGACAAAATCAAACATAAAAATCAAATATAAAATCCAAAATCAAATATAAAACTTCCATTACTTTTTTTAGGCAATCAGGGTTAAGTGACCTGCCCAAGGTCACATAGCTGGTATATGTCTAAGTCCGGATTTGAACTCAGGTCTTCCTGATCCCGGGAACCTGTGTTTTGTCCACTGTGCTACCTAGCTTCCCCTTCTACTGCTTTTTAAAGACCTTTACAATTTGCCCTCTTCCTACCTTTTCTGTCTTCTTATATTTCGGTGCTCTAAGTATACTTTCTGATTCAGCAAAACTAGTCTTCTTGCAGTTCTTTCCACATGACACCCAACCTCCCAGCTTTGTATCTTGTTTTACTGGTTGCCATCCACCATACCTGGAGCACTCTCTCTTATCACCTCTACTTTCTGGCTTCCAAGTCTCCCTTCAAGGCTGAGTTCAGGATGCCTTTCTTAGTCCCCTCCACTTCTAATGCCTTGTATCTTCCATTTACACTGTAGATATCTTGTATAAACTTGGTTATTTGCATATTGTCTCCAAATCAGAATGTAAAGTCCTTGAAGGTAGGGACTGTTTGTTGCCTTTGTTTGCGTCCTCAGTGCCTAGCACAGTGCCTGGCACCTAGTAGGTACTTAATAATCATTTGTTGTTGTTGTTGAGGAGGAGGAAGAAGAGAAGGAGGAAGAGAAAGAAGGGAGGCTGCATGTAAGAGGAAGAGCAATGAATTCAGAAGTCAGGAGCCCTGGGTTGGAATTTCTGCTCTGCCACTAGATGTGTGATCTTGACCTTCCTTTCTCTGTGCTTGTTTCCTTTTCTTTAAAATAAGGATGCATCAGATGAATCCATGGAAGCAGGAATTGAAATCATGCTATTAGGAAAATAAAAAAAAAGAAAACATAAAAAAGGATAAACAAGAAAACCACCTGCTGAAAGGAACATTAGGTAACAAACTAATAGCAATATTAAACTTATATGCTCTAATTGACATAGTATCTAAATTCACAAAAGGAAGATTAACTGAACTATAAGAAAACATAAAGAGTAACACAATAGTGGCAGGAGATTTCAATGTCTGTCTCTCAGTTTTGGGATATTTTTGCTTTGTCTTAGCTTTCAGGTTTAGGTAGAAAAGGGCCATCAGAAAATATTTATTTTGAAAATATCTTGTCAGACTTGTAGACAAGAAGTGGAGATGAGCAGCCCACACCAACTCCCCCTTCTAGCCCCAGAAAAGTTGTCAACTTTCAGAGGTGGGAAGGATCTCAGAAACCATCCTATCCGGCTCATACCTATATCTTCTTGACAGCAGAGCTGAGAAGCCCTCCAATTTCTGATCTAAGTCCTCCAATGATATAGAATTCATCACTTCCCATTCTACTTTTAGGTAGGTCAGATTACCAGGACATTTTTATTTAAATTGAGTACAGATGCTATTCTCTAACTTCTACTTATTACTAACTCTGGTCTCTAGACCCAAGGATAATCAATCAATTGATCAACAAGCATCTAATAATGCATACTATGTTCCAGGCACTGTGCCAGGCACTAGGGATACAAGGACAAAGAAAGAAACAATCCCTACCTGCAAGAATCTTACATTCTAATAGGGGAGACAATATGTGCTTCCACATAACAGCTCATTAGATACCTAATGACAGTTGTATCCCTGCTAAGTTTTCACTTTCTACAGTTCCTTCAACATATTCTTGTACAATGTGGTTTCAAGTCCTTTTTATCATCCTGCCCTCCTCTGGATATGGTCCAGCTTATCAATGTTCTTCCCAAAATATGGTACCCAGAACTAAAAATAATACTCCACATGTGGTCTGACCAGGGCAGAAATTTTGGGACTAGAAAAGAGGATCAAAGAGCATACAATGATAGAACATAAAGGCACAGACATTCAGAGAGGCAGATTAATACAAACCTCTTCATTCCTCGGCTATTCTATTCTGAACCTTTTTTCTAAATGAAAGTGTCATTTTTTTAAGAAGGCAATGAGGCATGGTTGAAAAATTGGGGGATTTTGAGCCAGAGGATTTACATTTGGATCAACAATTTGTCATTTATTATTTGGGGAAGTCACTTAACATCTCTAGGCCTCAGTTTCCTCATCTATAAAGTGAAGGGGAGAGGGCTAGCTGATCTCTAAGGTTCCTTCCAGTTCTAAGTCTTTGATTCCATGGATAACTCCTAATTACTGATAGCAGCAGGATAACACTGGTTTGGGATATCGAAATCTACAGATGGTTCAACCACATTATTTTATCCATTATTTTGTAGCTTGCTCTTCATCTAGGTGGGGAACACAGTGCTAAATACCATTACTTGGTATTATATCCTTTCCCTGTACATTGTCTTATAGACATGTTCTGTAGCAGTGAAGAGACATGAAATTAGGAAAATGGCAGATAGGAAAAATTTGAAGGGCCTGGGTACTCTACAAACTGTATTTTTGGCCCCTATATAATTATCATTTCAGAGGCTTATTGAAATTTTGATGTTGTTGTAGTTGTTAATGATGTACTCCACTGTATTAAGCTTTTTGTTTCAAAACTTTGACACTTCTACTCTTTGGCCATTGCTTTTTTTTAAAGGCCTTTCTTTCATTCTGAACTTTTCCCCTTCTTCTAAACCAACAAGTCTCCTTGTTCTTCAAATCTCACCTTTAAAAAAAATCAAGCAACTTCCTTGTGTTTTTAGTCCATAATTGATTCTAAGCCCACTGGCCTTTTCCCTCCCTCATCATTGGTCCTTCCATGGGTTGCCTGCAACCAACCTGCAGGAATTCGTTCTTTCATCTCAAATCCTTTTAACTCAGCATGGACACAACAGGACCATTTCACACCCCTCACCTTGCCCTGCTATCTCCCTGTGCTGTGTGTGTGTGTGCTTTGGCAGCCTGGTGGGTACTTTGTGGCCACCCCTCTGAAGTCAGGCCCTAGAGAAAGCAGGCAGAAAGATTGCCAGCCCACA